CAAGCCGGTGACCATCGAGAAGTAGATTAAGTACTATCAGTTGGAAACAGTCCTAAGGGGGCCCCATGCCCTGCTTACATGGCAACTCTTACGTGTCATTGCACGCTATAGAGGAACGTTCTTCTGTGAACGCCGTGGTATACTTTGAGGAAGCTACTGCTTAATTATGTAGGAAGATGTACTCAAACAGAAGTCATTGCACACTCCAAAGCCAGAGCCATGTCAAGTAAGCTCCCAGCCAGCTTGCACGCAGACGTTCCGTTTTTCACAGCGAGAGCTGGACGTTTCACACCTCGACGTTCATAGTGTCATAGGGGAATCGTACATGGCCTGTCCTTTTACTGATGCCAACTCACACAGGCGCGCAATCAATACATTTTAGAAGGCACAGACAACCGCTTGCTAAGCCCCCGATGCGCTACTGTCTCACCATCATACCAAGAGAGGCAACTGACGATGGCAAGCAAAAAGCGTTTCCAAAGAATCGACAACCGGGTCCTTGCGGTGGCGATGTTTTTGAATGAGCTGGCCCTTGGCTTGGGCATTTTACTGACTCTCGTGTGGTTGAGTCTGTGTCTCTGCCTTGGCGTTTGAGGGCGAGAGGGGCCTGAGAGGCAAAGGGGATGGCTCCTTGATTAAGCCTTCCTGGCTTATCAGGGTTTAGACTTACACTAGGGTTGTCACTAAGTTTGTGGGGATTTCGTGCATCGACAGACCCATCTGCCAATTCGAGCGCTTCACTTCAGCCGGCTGCGAAACCAAGAACATCAGGCTGGTTCGAATGTGAGAGCCCAAAGTTGGGTATCGAAATCATTCCGAGTCCGCCCGCGGATATCCGAGGCCACCGTTGCCTTCTCGCAGGCTGGACCGGGGATGCCAGAGAATGCATAGGATCTACGTCTTATCCTTGACTTGGCCAAAGGATCTTTGTAAACGGGTTTAGGACTGAAAAACAGCTGAATCCATATTCTCCAGCTTATCGGCCAGACCGGCCATACTGGACAAGGCATTCGCATGAACGAAGAAGCGATGCCAGGGCCATTCGGCTGCCAGGTGATCAGGGTGTCAAGACTGCTGGCAAGCTGCAGGTTTCAAAGCTTTCGTTACAAAGCCTGTGCAGTTCCAAACCTTTCGTTACCAAGCCTGTGCAGTTCTTTCAGAATTTCAGGTAGGGGCTTGAAGCTTCTATGGCATTTAAGGCCTCGGGTTTCGGGAACATGCGCAGAGAGCTGGGCTTCGAGTCGGAACACAGCGGAAGCAATGACACCATCGGCTCAGTCTTTGTGTCGCCCTTTCTCCACCGGCAGCGGTAGTTTGAATACAGACTCATGGGATGTTAATATCATGCCCTTTTAGAGAACCTGGTCTGCATTGCATGTGGGTAGTTCTCTAAACTAGGGCTAGGGTCCCTTTTATGAGGGTGCCGTACTATATTGGGGACCCAGAAGGGGACCCTAATTTAGAGAACTACCCATGTGTTCGAACCGCCCGGAACTCAGTTGCGAGGCGAGACTCCGGAGCTTTACCGACACCACGCTCCGACGGCTGGGCACCACAGGCTTTACTGCGAACGTCCCATGGGACGACTTTCAGGTTTAGGGGCTTTGGGAGTTTGGGGTTTAGGATAGAAAGTTTTAAGGTTCATCGAGATGTAATCTGTAGCCCCCACTGACTGTCGATGGAGTTCATACATTCATACATGCTCATTCTCATTCGGGTCCCCTTCTAGATCTTCTGGCATATCAGAAATTGTTGGTGCTCTACGCACCCTGGGGGACAGCCCCGCCGAAATCCCCAAACCTCTAAAACCCTAAGCAACAAGAGACAGAAATGTTGTCAATATTTCTGAGCGGCAGTGAGAGGAAAGCTTAGTCATAATTCATAGCGTGCACACAAGATTGCATGATCAAATTAGGAGTTTGTAATTCGGAATTAGAGTGAACCTGTTTACTGACTGTGATCCTTGCATTTTTTGTGTTTTAAAGTCTTGGGACCTATATCTTATTTAGATTGTATGCGGTGAAGTGTCTGTAAAGGGTTTCAGGAGTTTCACACTGGGAACCGTGAGGATTCCATGAAATCACGTCTGTCTTGGGGTCATTCCCTGACTTCTGCGCATCTTTACATGCTGTTATCATACCTGCACCGGTCCCCTGCGTGATTTCGGCACAGTAGTCGTCGAAGCCCATATAACTAGCTGTCTTCAGTGCGTAGTGGATTTCGGCGAGATGAAGACGAGGACCGACCCCATTTAGGAGGTTGCGATGCGTTATGGACGTGTGTTGTGATGGCGGTTGTGCACTCGCTTTTGTTTCAACTTCTCAGCAGACCTCGAACCACATTCCTCTCCTGGATTGTCCGAGTGTGACCGCCGAAACCCCTGAACCCGACCTTGTACACAAATTCCACATGCCTGCACCTGAACAGCCGACGCCAGCCCAGGTGGTAACCGTGAGGCACTTCCGGGACCTGGTCGGTGGATTCCGGTTGGGTGGGTGAAATATATAGTATAGCGTGTTTCAACATGTTGTAAATTCTAACTGGAATATTTTATAGAATATGTGATGTTCAATGAATGCATGTATGAGTGTGGGACTCGGGGGGTTCAGCTCTGGCAGCTGGCGCGCAGTAAGAGTCCAGGCAGTCAAGCTGCAGTGGTGCTTGAGAGTCGCTCTATGGAGCTGACACCTCCAGTAAGGGTGCAATGAGAAGAGAACCGACTGGATACCTCTGCTTTGAATAAAGACACCAGTAGGTATAGTGATAAGAGCAAGAATATTAACAACCACATAACATCCATATAACTGTTCGTACTACAATAATATAAGCAGCAACAGTATTATCCATGTCATCATTATAGTACTAATTAATAGTGCTAAGCAGCCGAAGCTCTGGATCTCGCATGGGAGCCAGGATACAGAGGCAAAGGCGGCCCTCCCAGCCCCTCGGTCGCACATAAACGCTGCGCGTGTCGGGTTTAGGGTTCGGGGAACCCTAAACCTTAAGGGAGCTTGGGATCCCTTAGGGTTTAGGGTTCAGGGAACCCTAAACCGTAAGGGAGCTTAGGATCCCTTAGGGTTTAGCGTTCCCTGAACCCTAAACCCCAAAAGAGCTTAGGATCCCATAACTAGAGGAACAACTGCATCACTTGGTTCGTTTGTTTGCTTTTGAGCTGGTTTGGGTCTGTTTGACTTTGGAGGTAGTAGGGCTCTTCGGAGAGGTGCGCAACCCGTCCACGGTCCACGAGCCCCAAAACCAGGCAGATGAGCATGCTAATCTAAACTCCGCACTCAAGCCTTCCTGGAGATGTGGCTAAAAGCCAGCAGGAAAACTGAATCGTTCTGCGCGGATCTGTGGTTGCTTTACGAGTTTTTTTATTTGTCTTTAATTTATAAAGTTAGGCAGGCCCATAAGGCAGTTACAGAGGGACTGTGAAGGAAAACTCCCTAAGCCCCAAAGCGTTTATACCCTGTCCGCCCCCGCTCGCCCCCTACCCGTAAAGCCTTCAACCCAGTAGCCTAAATCCTGGTCCCCGAATGCTGAAGCCGCGCAGATTCTATGCATCTAAACCCTGAGCCTGCTAACCATAAACAGCCAAACCAAAGCCTAAACCGCATCTTTGGTCAGACTGTACTGTAGTCCCCGACCAGAGAAGCCGAAGCCAGCGACGCCAGAAATCGGAATGCAGGCGGGCATGGAGGCTGAGGATACGGTCCGGAGCCCTGCCATTCACGGGTTTAGGGTTTATGTCAGGATTTTCTAGTCTTGGGTGTAGTCAGACTGTCTTGTCAAGAGTCTAGTAACGACCTCCCCAAATCCCTACCCTAGCTATGCTCGCCCCGCCCATATAGCAGGGTTTGCAGATATTTGCGGCTTCTGGGTGCCCGAGAGGTCTTCTTCCGACAATACTTGGTAGTTCTAACCTTGAGGGTGTCGGGGGCTGCCATTTCCGACGCGTTTTATTTAGTTCGCTGCTGCCTTGGAAGGACAAGCGCGCTGTATGCCTGTGGAGCGACGACCTCGACCGGTAAGACTCCCAAACCCCTAGCTTGCGCGGCTTAGGGTCTAGGGTTTAATTTTTTTATACGGGTTATCAAGACGCCGTGTTTTAAGTATCCGTTACGGTCCCTATTTTTGTCGGGCACCTTCTCTTTTGTTCTTTGAGCTGCGCCCGTTCTGAAATCAAGGACGGCCCCGATGAGCTGCCGGAGGGTGTTGGGCTCAGGATAATAAACGGAGGGGGGGGGGGCGCTTTTAAGGGCTTGGGGGTTTAGGGTTTAGGGTTTTCTGAAAAGCTTTGTGCAAGGCTTGTGTATGAGGATCTTAGAAGGTTTTAGATGGGGAGCATGCTCAATTTTAGGGGTCTGTAATGTAAGGGGCATTACAAGGGGTTGTATAGGATTTCTTTGAACGGTATATAGGGGTCCTTATGCTAACTTGGGTTTCATCTATGAACCTCACAGAGGAAGTTCAGGCCTGTACTGTGGCTCGAACAACTGAAATGCAAGGAAGGGTGGCCGTCAGTGTGTTTCGTCGTCAGCATGGAAGTTGACTGGGCAGGAACAACAGGCCACTGTTTCTATTCCTGCATGGTCCTGAAGTACGAGGTTGTGGATTCAAGACTGCGTGTGGCTGTTGCGGAAGGTTTTGCAGCCAAGATGAGGATGCAGCGTAAAGTCGTAAAGTCTAAAGCTACATGCTCATTCGGGTCTCTTGCCCAAAATCGTCTCCGGAGGCGTTCTCTACGAGGTGTGTTTGGTGCCACTCATTCATCACTAAAGAGTTCCCCTGTCTTAGCATGCCGCAAGATGACAGTTGCGGCACCCGCTGCTGCGATTTCGGCTTAAACGTACTTGGCGATGCTCTCTCACATCTGCAAAGTGATCCCTAATTGCTGTAGAGGCAAGTTTCGAGGAATTAGTATTCTAGGAAGAGGTCTGTCGGCGCGAAGGTTCACAGAAACAGATGCCTTAAGCTTCCGTCACAACTTCCTTGGCATCATGGTCTCGCGTTGTGTGTATTTGGTGATCTCTGCTCTCTACTTCCGAAGTTCAACTGCGAAGGATCCGGAGCCAGGGTGGGATAACAGCCTGCTGTCGCAATGCCCACATCAGGGGTCCATGGTTTTTTCTGAGTATGGCACGTTGTCAGGGGGGTTCCCAATCGACACTACAGTCCCAGGCTCAAACTTTACGGACATTTCTTTCACCATGATCGCAAGCTTGTATGTTTTCGAGCCTGTCCCAGGGGGCTGGACATGTTGGCTAGGGACTGCCACGACGTGGCCGCTTGTCAACAGCGGACATTTGCACCTGTGTTTGACGAATACAAAATTGAAGCTCGGGTTTTTCAGCAACGATCTCGATGCCAACTATGCTTTTCCAGCCGAGACTTGGGCAACAGTTTCTGCAGTCTATGACGCGAGCAGCCAAACACAGCGTCTGTATGTGGACGGTGCACTGGTGGGCACCAGGGGTACCTCAAAAGGCTTCAAAGGCCAGTCGACTCGCAATGTCGAGATCGGACGGGCGCACAATAATCCAACTAGCTTTCAAGGAAAGGGAGCGATACGAAATGTGGTCTTATATGCTTCAGCGATTGATGCAGCTGACCTTGATGCCTGCGCAGCAGACCCGTCGATGACAATAACATCCAGTACTGCTAGCACACATACGCTGACTTCAACTTCGTCGGCAACGATGAGTACATCGTCCACGAGTTCGTCCTCATCGACGAGATCCTCCACGTTGACAACATCCAGTACCTCTGGCACACATACGCTGACCTCAACCACTTCGACAACGAAGAGCAAATCGTCCACGAGTTCGTCCTCATCAACGAGATCCTCCACCTCCACGTTGACAACATCCAGTACCTCTGGCGCGCATACGCTGACCTCAACTACTTCGGCAACGATGAGTACTTCGTCCACCAGTTCGTCTACGGTGAGTATGTCCTCGACTTCCTCAAGTAGTACACTGTCGACGACAGGATCACTTACAAGTTCATCGTCCTCCAGCACCGTGACGACAACTAGCCAGGCCAACGTCACATATATCGTGGAGACTACGCAGGATCAGGCGTTGGCAGCAGCAGAAGCCCTCGTAGACGCCAGCCTCCAGCACATCGGCGCCCTAGTCACTGTGCCAGGTGTCGGCCGAAGCAGCGCTTCGTCCTTCAGCGTGGAGGGCTTGGTGCCTGCTACGCCAAGGTATGTTGTCGGACAGCTGGATAAGAGTTTGCTGGCAGCTTTCCCATTTCCACTGGTGAACCATTCTGAAGATGATCATCTATACTTGACATTTTCCAACTTCGAGGGGGTCACCGTGCTGCAATTAGTAGCTTGAGACCGGTATGCTCGCAGTCGGGGCGGGTCGGGTGTAGTCCACACTTCAGAAAGCAGGCACTTCAAGGTCCATAAAATCTACAAAGTCCATAAGATATGAATGCAGTCGCCTTTGACATTGCTCGTGTTATCTTTGGGCGCATGGACTTGAGGTTCTGCAAGAAGGGGACATTGTCAGGCTCGTGTCGGGGAGGAGAGCACGCTTGCTAGCCGATGCGGTCGATGTGTCTGTGGTCTTCTCCGGTGGACAGCACTGGCCGATAAATGTGAGCATGGAGCAGCCAATCTACGTTCGAGTGGCTCCAACTTTGACCGAGAACAACAGCATGTGCGCCTTCCTCACGGAGTCCGGTTGGTCTATGGAAGGAGTAAGACCAGCACTGCCAGAAGAACTGGCTGCAGCGATGGGAGGCGAGTACCTGCCGGGGTTCTGGTGTGCAACGACACACCTGACGATCTTTGCAGCGATACTTGAGCTTGCAGTGGCTTGCACGAACATCGAGGTGTTATCATCGCAGCTGTTGCCCAGACTGCTGGACACCAGCTGGCCCACTCGAGCGCCCGCTGTGCTCGTTCTTTCCACCGTGGCCTGCTGCGTGGTGATCTTGCTGGCTGCAAATGTTGCCGACCGGAGAGCACGTTTGCGGGACGTGTGGCGGCAGCAGAATCTGCTTACAGCCATCCCACCATCTCGCGTGTCCTGCTGCCCAAGCCTCTGCAGATGCCAGGGCAAGTCAAGCCAGGCTGGGAAAGAATCACAGACATCGGAGAGCAAAGACGCAGATTCCACGGGACCACAGCAGCGGATAGGAAAGATGCTCAGTTCTCTTCAGCCTCGGAGTTGGGCACGGCGAATGGGCATCCGGGTCATGGTAAAAGGAACATTGCAGTCGCTCGCTCTGCTGCTCTGGGTGGACGAGCATCTCGGCTGGTGCGTCCTTGGGTTTAATGGTTTAATGGGCCAAGACCGACTCCTCACCTACAGGCATAAGTTTGTTTACAAAACCCATCCCAGAAAAAGAAGACTATGTTTGAAATTGGTGTTGCTTCCCATCGTGAGGCAATCCTTGCAGACCCATGTGTGGAATGGACAGGGCTGGGTGCAGGGGAGTGCCCTGGCTTATGGGCATAGCCGAGAAAAGCCTGACTAGCTACTTATATTCTTGTTGGGGCTCCTTCTGAATGTGTGTATGTATGTATTTTTTCTATTTATTCATTCATTTATGTGTGCATATATATATATATACATACATACATACATACCAAGCTTTCAGGCTACCAAGAGGTAGCTCGCTGTAAATCTAGAGCCTCAACCCTGAGGCTGAGGCATAGCTCAAATCACCATGGAAAGCCGGTCCTATAGTTATAGTACCTACCGAGGCTTAGTCTTGGCAAAGTCAAAGCTGCTGGCAACATGGACCGCGAATCTCGATGAGGAGGGTTTAGGGTTAAGGGGTTTTTAGGACTGATGACTGGGGCATTTTCAGACTCCCAGTCGTTGTTGTCACTACCCCTATCACGGTTAATACTGCTGGTGATCATACGGTGCTTCGCCATGCTCGTATAGTGAGCTGCTAGGGATGATTGTTGCCGCGGAAGCCTCAGACGACGGCAACGACGAGATGCCAAGCAGCAGCTATAGTTACTCTAGCTGGCACGCTGCGCCACAGGAGCTTCCACGGCTTTATGCTGCCTGGGGCTGTCGGCGCTGGCGACGGGCTGTCGTCTCCTTCTCTGCCTGCCATCCCTTTCTGGGCATCTTCCCGGTGGGAGGGTTTGGGGAACCCGATGGTGGAGCATTGAGGGTTTGTGGTGTACTATGCTAGCTTCAAGCACCCGGGAAGCAGGGGAAATCAGGCATTCAGACAGCAACTGCACGACGGCGCTTCACTCGGGTCCAGAGGTTTAAGAGCCCCGCTGTAAGAGCTTGAATGACAGTATGGATCTGCACGTCGGAGACTGTCAAGGCTAGACAAGGATATCAAGGATGTTTCAGTGTGCGGAGGCAGTCGTTTAACTGCAGCTGACGACATGTTCGAGGTCTTGAGTGGGGATTGAAGCATACCAAATCCCGAGCCCGGGGAGGGGTTCATGAGAACTCGGCACTGGGGTTTTGGGGCTTTGGCCAAGGAGTTCTTGAAACCTTGAGCGCCCTGACAGAAGCCCTGCGAGACCTCCTTGAGCCCTACGCCCCTGACTCCCGAAATCGCAGGTGTCCGTGCACCTGACTTCGGCCAAGCGCGCGATGATCTTCTCACACTTTCTTCTGGGTTCTTTGGCGATGCCACTTGGTCTTTTCCAGCAAAATCGCTTCCAGGATTTTCTGCAGGGGTTCGTCGCGAGGGCTATGTCCACCATGCAAGTGATTCGCGGGCAGAGTCAGAGCTCAAAAGTTCGTTGTGGGGATGGCAGCATTGATTCTTCTCGTAGTTGCAACTCGGCAGTGTGTATACATGTTGTCGCACGAGCCGGTCAACAAGCATCCGTGGGAACTGAACTGCTATGAAAAGAGCCAGTAATAGCCCTTTCTGCCTGAGGCTTGTGGTTTTGATACCCTCTGTAGATAAAATCCCAATACAGAACCCAGAGAAAGGAGACCTTGGAGTTTTGCAGGCAACCACCACCATCATGGCCTTTTCGTAGTATTATTTGTTTAGGGTTCCTTACTATACAAGTAAGATGCCCCGAAACCCTAGGTTAGTTTTTGAGGTCTTCACTGTTCATCTCCGTCACTGGGGTCCTGGATGTGACCAGCGACTTCGACTGCCCCGTCGAGGATGACACGCTTCGGCTCTTACTCATTGCAGCTGTGTCCATGGTTCTGAACTCACTTCCTCGGCTCTTTTTCCAACAGCTCGGGTTCCGGTATTTTGCTGAGGGCGCTGGCGATGAAGGAAAGGTCAGGAAGAAGTGGAGAGAGTGGCTGGTGGCAGACGCGTTCTTTTGGCTCCTGTCCTTTGTCTGGCAAGCTGGCTACATCCTCTTCCTTTGTGCCTTCTTAGCGAGTTTAGCTCCAGCAGATGAATCGAAATGTCTCCTTTGTTTCGGCGCCATTCTGGTTGCGAAGTTCTTCGCATCTCCATTTTCCAGGATGCTGGGCCGCACTAGGAAGGGCATCCGACATCCCCCTCGCGGCCTGAACTCTACAGGGACCCCTCATAAATGAGCCTAAATAGTCATGAACGCTATCCCTTGAGGGGTTCCCGCATGTATGTTGCAAGCCGTGCCGCAGTCTACCGTAGACCCGGAGTCCATGCCAAGCAGTGAATGAGCCCTAAACCCTAAACCCCATAAACCCCATGAAGAGCACCTAGCAGTCCCAGAACCCGCGGCAGCTCAGCCAAGATGCGCATACTGGCGAGAGCATAGGCGGAAGCACGAGTTGCACCCAAGTCAGGATGGCGAAGCACGATTTCGAATTGAGCCTATTTCCGAAACACCCGATGTTTATTCATTTAAATTATGAAGCACAGTTTGCCAAGAACAGACACCAAAAAGCACGCACGGTGTTGCGGTGGGGGCCGCGGTTAGTGAAGCTCGCGAGTGCCAAAGTATTGGATTATACAAGGAAGTTGGCGTCCCTAAGCGGATGGGGTCGGCGTGGGACTGTGGAAAGAAGGCCTTTCTCCGATTTTCCTCGAAAACGCCAACGAGCCACGGAATCAATCATGTGAGCAGCGCTGTCTTAGCAACCGTGCAGATCCTTCTGCTTACATGAAACCCCCTCGTCCTTACCCAAAGGCTCCATAGTAGTTCCTTTTTGGGATTACCTTCTGGGATCCTAAATATAAACCACAAGAAGGAACTATAATGGAGCCTATGGGTACCGCTGCGATAGAGAGAACAGACCACCTAAGACCCAGGTCTTCGTCCAAAGTGGCTTGAGCTAAATTAGGTTTAGGAGTGGACCTTTTTGTTTTGTCTTACGGGTTCCCTTATATCAAAAATAAGGGGTCCTATCAGAGTTGTATTTTTATGATCGTCACATATATAAATATATACACATACATAGATATAGATATAGATATATGGTCAGGCGTCTGGCGTTTCCCCGCGTCCCGGGGGCTGGCGTGTGCGGCCAAATAGCGCGTGACCATAAATGATGCCGGTGCGGTCGCACCCCCCCCCCCTCCCGCGCATGGTTCCCCCTCCCCCTGTGGTGTGGTGTGGTTGTGGGTTGCTTCCACCGTTTCCGTGCGTGGTGTGGTTCTGGGTCAGCTTGGGGTGGTTGCCCCCTTCCCCTCTTTGACGTGGTGTGCGGTTGGGTTTGCTTGCAGTGGGTCACCCCTGCGTGTTTGGGCATGGGGTGTTTGAGAAGAACTCCTCGTGACATTGACGGTTTTTGGAGCCTGGTCTGTCTGCAACCGGGCCGGGGGGGTGAACCGAGAACCGGGGTCCTTTTCCGCTCTCAGGTCCCTGGCCCCCAACCCCCCACATGTACTCCACCCCTGCCCCTGCTGGTGCCGCTTGGAGTTGCCCGCCCCTGCTGCTGCGTGGATTGACTATCGAGGAAAACGATGGCTTGTTAGTACTCCATCAAGATGGATTGAGTTTTTGCTCCGGGAATAAGGAACTTTATTGCGGAAGGCTGGTCTCTGCAGCTTTTTAAATTTGCGGTTTCTCGCTGCTCCGTTATGCCTCTGATTGAAGCAAAGCTCTGCAGTGTTTTTTCTCTCTTTGCAACACTGCAGCGGTCACGTTAATTGCAGTTTCTGTCTGCTCCGTCTTGCCCCTGGTTGAAGCAACGCTTTGCAGTGCTTTTGTCTTTTTCTGCGACATTGCGGCAGTCGGCAGAATTGCAGTTTCTCTCTCGCTGCAATATTGCAGCGGTCATAGCAGGTAGCAGTTGCCATTTGCTTTCTGCAGCACTGCAGCGGTCCCAGTAGTTGCACCGCAGTATCTCTTTGCTTCGTCCTGTCTCTGCTGGAGCAAAGTTCTGAAGCAAACCGATACTGCAAACTAGAACAAAAAACAAAAAGCTATAAGATCTGGGGCTGAAGTTTTATAATTGGGGCGGGGCTTATAATTAAGTCCTGAAGGTCGAGCTTTATAACTGAGGGGGGTTTTAAAAAGTCAAGTCAACATTAGACCCTCTTCTAGTCATTCTAGTCACTACTTCCACTGAATTCAGTCGTAGGTGACCACCCTACAGAAAAGATACCTAGAAAGAAATTCTGGTTTAGTACGCCGTTCCTGACGGAGCCTGTGCGACAAAGAACCCCCGCAATCCCCGAACTGCCAAAAGGATGTGCCTGCACTTTGTCTTCACAGAGATCGCTGTTTGTTCATTCCCGGAGCCTCGGAGCAAAAAGGATGGGAACTCTTTCTTGACCACGGCTTCTGTTGTTTCTGTCTGTTTTTAGGGCTTAGGGTGTTCAACGTCTGTGTGTGGTGTAGGTTTTGAAATGGGTGCTGACCGAACATCACTTGAGGCATATTTAATCCTGGCTCTGAACTTCTAGACCCTCCTAAAAACCCTGCAGCCCTCAATCCCAAACTTCCATCACATCCTCAATCCGACTCAGGATCTCCTGCAGGTGCCTCCACCTGAGCTTGGATTAGACCTCATGGCTGCGCCACTCACCGACGACGCCCTGTCCTGAAACAGCTTTCTGGGAGGTTCTACAAGTTGGGATTCCTTAATTTTTCAAAGAGTGAAACTTTAGTTGGGAATCCATAATTAAAGGGACCAAAATGTAACCAAAGTACCCACATGACTCTTCTTGGTGTTTTAATCGGGGCTTTCCGGGTGGAAACCCGCAACCGCAGAGCCCAAAGCCTAAATCCTCAACAAGGTCCGAAAAGACCTTAAAACCCTAAACTAAACCCTCGAGGCGTATAGAGCCCTTCTAGTAATGCTTTTGCAATCCTTGTCAGAACCCTCAGGCGCTGTTGAAGGCACTGTTATTGCAGAACCCTTGTAATAGCCTCTGCTCCAACGGATTTAAGGTTTAGGGGTTTAGGGGTGTAGGGTTATAGGCCAACCATAAACAGTTACAGGAACCGTGCCCTAAACATTAGGGCCCCTTCGTCTCAGCTTTCGGGTCTCAGGAGGTGCTCTCCGCGGGCGATGGAGAGGTTGCGCAGCAGAAGGTCAGCGAAACTGCCATTGTACAATATACATGCACATACCATAGTAGCCATAGTAGCTGAAAGCTGTATGCATTGCATATACCATAAAATGCCATAACATAATATCATACCATATTGTGCTCGGAAGCAAAAGCATATGCCACGTTATACTGTAATATGTGGCACAACATACCATAGTGCATTACTATAACATACTGAAATAGACCATATTGTACGATATTATACGATAATGTTCTATGATATTAGTATTAAAGCATACTATATACTATACTCCCCTATGGTATTTCGTCACTGTAGCGGAAGGTCGTCGAGCTGGCAAGTCGGGGTATCCGAGTACGGCACCTCTTGGAGTTCTACGAAGAGACTTAGTCGTTGTTTTGAGCTTGCTTACTGAGCTTAATGCTTTTTCCTACAAGACGAAACTGTTGATAAGCTTTTGCAGGTTCTGAGCTGCCTTGGTCTGAAAGTTTACGCTTCTGTGTGCAGGATTTATTGTGGAAGTAAGGAGATACTGGGGCAAGAGTTCTTTGATCCGGAGCGGTCTACTACCCATGATGTCGTCCGCCACGCCATCATTCCTATGACGCTTCAGGGAAAGTTGCCCACGGAGGAAAATCAAGATGTTCCCACTGAGCACGGCGGGGTGACGAAGTTTGAGCGGCATAGCTGCATCAAGCCAGCTGTCTGATGCTGCGCAGGTAGGTGCCAGAGCATGCTGTAGACCGCACCGAGGAATCAGGACGCCTAACTACCTCAAGCCATGTTAGTTATTTCAGGTCGCAGCACGGGATCGCCTATGCAAGCCTGGTGAACCAGCTCAAGCCCGTTTTCGCCTTAAAAATGGTGACCCACGCTTGGGGCAACGTTTTTCGCAGCTTGGAGAGCAGAGCACCCGAATGAAGAAATGATTGCGGCGGCATGATTCATGGTTGCATGAAACCGGACGAACGAACCTCAGCTCTCTGATCTAAGGCAACTTACTGGCCGCCGTGTTCGCAGATGCGCTAGGGCAGGAGACCTATGACAAGGTGCTACATTTGCTCGAGGAGCCGGGTTTGAGGACCATCCGCTTCCAGCTGGCGGCGTTGCACCAGTTAGACTACCCGTATTGGATCTGTGCGGCCTGGCTGGATGATCAGAAAGTTCAACTGAGCCCAGCCCGACCAACCATCACTGTCAGTCGAGTAGTAATACAGACACATAAATGTATGCATATGCGCCTACATGCATACATATACCCCAAAAAACTGATACACATGTACAGGTACTGAACTACATACATGCACACATACAAACAAACACATACAATATACATATAGTTACATACATGCATCTATGTGCGAATGCCTTTAAATGCACATCTGTGCACATGAATACTTTTAATGCATTATGAGTGAATGTAAATGCATGGATCTAGCACTCTTTGTGTCTGGATCTACTAAATCCTCTTAGACCCCTACACCTTGCCAACGTGTCATCTACCTACCGGCCTTCACATATGCATCTGTATGACAACCTGGTGCGATGGCATAACTACAGGCTCTGGCACCCCGACCCCCCACACTACCAAAAGTCATCCACAGGCAGAAACCCAGCAAGGCAAATGGGTAATTTTCTAAACCAGGGTCCAGTACTCGATCTCTGAAAGAGCACGCCCCGTTCTTGTATCGGGGTCCTCGAACTCAGAGAGCCCTCCGTAGTTCGGTGTCCCGTCAGCAGCTATCAATATCCCACAGCTGAGGCATTCTCGGTAAATCAACATGCTGGCATTTGTGACAGAGCGCCGTCCCATGACTCCTTGGGCCGCGAGATCACGGCATGCCCCTGCACGACACAAAAATTTCTTACCGGCGAGCACTGTGAGATGAATAAGCTACTTGACCCGCCTCAGCATGTTTGCTTTTCCGCAGTAGGAAGCCAGGAAAGGTAATCCGAGGGGTTCACATTGCCTCAGTGGTTCTGCATGGCGCAGTGGAGTGCTATGACAGGCTTGCATGAAACAACATGCGGTCGAGTTTCGCAAATGTTTCGCACTCGCTTGATCTCCCTTAACGTAGTTGTACAGTATCACTCCAAAACTTGTACTAGCTGCCAATATAGGGGCCTTAAGAATTACCTATACTGCTTCAGGGGTTCCTTATTATACTTATAGTCGGATGTATCCCAAAATTCTATTCTGATTGTTAAGGCCCCTTACACAAGCCATATGGCCCCCTGCGGTGTCGGATGTCACAGGGGCGGGGAAGCTTCCAGAGGGGTCGCATCAACTCACTTTGCATGAGATTCCTGTGTCTACAGGAGGGGCGAGTATTTCGTAGTTCTTTTTCCCAGCCGCTGTGTTATCACTTAATCAAGGCATTAGAGCTGAGCACACAGAGATAAACGCAAACCTATGCTTTCATTCTCTGAGAGTGGACGGATCCGGGATATTTGAGCAGATTTTGAAAAAGGTAATATTGTTCAAGAGCAGACAGGCGAATGGGCAGGCTTGCAGTCGGTAGCGTAGCTGCAATTAAGTCTTTGCTAACCGTTCTCTCTCACATACGCACGCAAAGAGTCCAAGAGCCCTTGCACGTCGAGCGTGTACTTGGGAAGCGCGCGCATTGAAGTTCGCCTGTTTCTAGCCCTAGCAGCATCCATTATGTCACAAGTGATTCGTGACCTGCATGCGTCACAGGTTCGATGACATGATCAACTACCTGCGGCAAAGCAATGCAGCAGCTCGCAAGAGAGGCGATGAGACTCAACGCTTCGGCCAGGTTGTGGCCATTGACATGGGGTTCGAGCTGTTCTCAAGGCGGGCATTTTTTTCATGCTGTGTCTGTGGCACATCTTCATGGTATGTCAGGGCATCTGACTGTGTCTTCTTTCAACATGGGTTAGTATCCGAGAATGTCAGTTTCAAAAAGAGCTGTGTTCAAGGATTTGGTGTGTGGCAGAGCTTGTGGAAGCGGAGAAGCTGCATCTGCCGCAAGCACTGAAAATGCATTCCCAAAGCTCACGGGAACAATGCAGCTTGGAAGTTTGAGACAGCATTCTGATAGATGGCATAGACTATCGAGCAGCGTAGTACGCTTGGAGGTACAGAGTCTAAGTCTTCTCATCATTCCTTTTTAGCTTCGCTCAGGCTGACCTAGGCTCCGTTTCCTTCTCTGTCAAAAATTCCCAACTAAGGCGTGCAAAAACTGCACCAGCTCGACGTCCGCTCGGCACAAGCCAGCTTTGAAGCAGACCGTCAACTGGTGCCATGCCTAATGAAGATAGTCTCAGTCGGGTGGGGTTTGTGAGAGGATCACGGTCTTCTTGCTACTGCCACTGGCAGTTGCCACTGGTAGTATTGTTGTGTTACTCCACATGGGGTTGAATTGTTCGATCTTACGAAGGAGTTCCGAAGCGATATCCCCCCAGTGACAATCTATAAGGCTTCGACAGCATGGGAAGGGTTTGGGTGATGGGCGTGACAGGATAGCGGATAGCTGCAGATTCCATGGTTCCTTCGCGATTTAGAATTGGGGCTTACGAAAACAGAATTTCTCCTGGCCGATCTCAGGTCTTGGACAAGATCCAAGATGTCGACCTATTCAATGACAAGTTGCGCGACCTTTTGCTGACACGGCTCAATGGCTTTTTGGTCGCAGAGCTCCTAGTCGGCCTTCTGAGTGTTGAGGAATTGCTGGCCACCGTCCTCGACACGATTTAGAAGTTGCAGATCTTTGCACAGTGCAGCTTGACCACACGCCCTTGCCAAGCAAAGGCTTTTGCCCTCAAAGGGCCTGGCTCGAGCTGTCCGAATTAACATAGCCCACGTTGAGGGCGATTTTTGCATGGCACCCGGCCAAACTTGGCCGAACGCGGCGGCTAGCATATGGTCTTCCTTGTCGTGAAATTACGAGTTTGGGAGGACCACGTGTTGGTGCAATGTTGTGCGCGACACTGTGCGACCGTGTGGTTGCGTGCGCTGCTGGACTCTTTGAGCACGTGAGCTGCAGAGTCTATCTTGCAACGTGGGAACCTAACCGACGACCACAAATACATTGTAGTCGAAAAGCTAGGCGCAGCTGGAGCGTAGTTTGAGCAGCAGTTAGAGAGCAGCACGCTGCGATGCAACCCTGAGTACTGCGAGGCCCGGTGCGATCCAGGCTGGATGGAACTTTAAATTCTAATTTAGATATGCTTCATACACCCAGTACTGTATCACTTTGCATGGTTTTGAGGACCAGGGCTTTGGGTTGAGTGATGTTGAGTGTCCAAGTGGTTCAGTGTGTTTTGAGTCTCACAGGCGTGTTGAGTCAGGATGGTCCCGAAGCAAGTATACTCCTGACTCTCTGGGACCTCCAGCAGAGCAAGTCGTCTGCTAGTCGGTGTGACAGGACCGGAGCATCGAGATGCTAAACCGCAAGCCCAAAGTTGCTTCCACTGGTAGGGTTGGAACGTTCCTGTCTAGAAGTGAAGGGTTTTTGGGCCGGCACGTGCGAGTAATTCGAACGCCGCCTAAGTGCCGGGTTTAAGACTTTAGCCACTTTAGCCTGTTCATTGCTGCTTGAATGAATTTCGATGTGCGATTCAGGCTTGGGGTGACTGGCACGAAGACTTGCGACCTCAGCTCCGTTACCTCTGCTAACCTGCGCCCACGAAAAACGAAAGCCTTACAACCAGGGCCTCAACGGAGAATAATGATCTTAAGTCCCAAACCCGCGAGTCCAGTCGAACTTAATTACACGACCATGGAGATGATTATTAGTGTTCTCCCACGGAGGTATATCAATATATTAACAAAGCCTAGGAAAGTAACAGTCCCTCACTTGTACATGCCACGCCAACTGTTCTCATAGTTCGAAAGTGCAAGACGCAGGCCACTACAGCCCAGTCTCCAGCAAGACAAGGCAATGCGTGCATCAGCTGGCGCAAAGTTGTGTTGAAGTACTAAAGTTAAAGAGATGTCATGTTTTCGTTCCCAGGCTTCTGTTTTCAGCCCCTGGTTCCAGTCGGGAATGCTGGCGGCCGTAACTGGGAGAGCACACTCTGTCGATTGGAGCTTCGTGTGGTGTTGAATTCAGTGAAACCTTAGCTGACCGCATCTGTTCAAGGGCTTCCTTGTGCGAGAACAGATTGCGGTGGTCGGCATGAGCGTTTCTGCACAGAAGCGTTTGTACAGCACTTGAAACACAAACGCCCCGTCTGTGTACATTGCCTGAGTTGCTTCAAGCACACGTCATCCTCAGAACCCTAAACCTGATGTCGTCCTGCAATCACACGTGGGCCCCGAAGGGCCGTGTCACGCAAAGCGAGTGATGTGAGCGTTCCCTGGCTTGGGAGTTGGGCCGGGCCGTGGCTAGAGACGTTGGTAAAGTAGCTTTTCGTTCCCTTGGCATCTTAGCGGTGATCCTGCACGACTCGCTGTGACCCGCTTTGCGTTACTGGTTTCATCCTTTCGGATGATCTGTTGTCTGCGGTTTATGTCCAGCTGCTCAGGATTCCTCGTATGTCATTATACTTTCCTTTGGTCCCTGCTCTGCGTCTTGGCCAGAACCCGAAGCCCTATTAACCTTTCAAATCCTGTGCCCGGAATTTATCCGAAACATCTAAACCCTTGTCCTAGTCCGTGTCGCCACCGTTCTGGAAGCCCTGTTTGAAACCCTGAAGCCCTCAAGCACTCCTTGTCGTGACCAGCGCGACAGCCGTATTCACAGCCGCGATGTCCGTGCCTGCGCCTTGAGACTTCACTCGGGCACCTGCGGGTTTAGGGTTTCTAGGGTTCGGGGTTTAGGGTGCAGGGTTGTGGGTTCAGGGTTTTGGGTTCAGGGTTTAGGGTTCAGGTTTTAGGGTTTGGGGTTCAGGGTTTGGGGTTACTAAGACACAAACCCCGAATAGTCAAAGCACCTTCCGGAAAATGCTCCAGAACACATTCCCGCCATTTAAACCTTGTTGCGTATTCAGAGAGGATTGGCGGAGTGCAGGAGCAAGAGCCAGAGCAAGAGCAGGAGCAAGAGCAAGGTCCTGCAAAAGTGATAGTAGAGATGACTCCGCCCCTTTGTTGCCCCTCCCTCCCTCAGTTATTAGCACTGGGGAGATGGGATTACCTGCAGTGATGGAGCTGCAATTTTCTGGTTAAAGAAAATCTCAAGTATCCCCTTCCAGCGCCCATTCTTCTTACGAAGGCACCCTCTCCTTTTTTTGTAAGTGTGCCGTTTCCGAACTCAAGGACGGGCCCGATCCGCTGCCAGGCGGTGTCGGGCTCAGGATGGTTCTATTCAACAGGTTTTGCAATGCTTGTACATGGAATTGTTAGGTGTCTGCTATTTAAGGGTCATTATAGGTCATGAAAATGCATGTGCTGCGGCTCGCTTCACTGAAACGCGAGTAAGGGCGGCCGTCAGTGCGTTTCGTCGTCAGCGTGGTGTCCTTTGCTGCCAGTTCGGCTTAAGGCTCTTGAAGATGATGTCTGATGTCTGCACGGGGATCTCCACTGTAGAGGCAAGTTTCGAGAATTCAGTGAAAAGAAGTATGTTAGTGTGAATACTCACAGAGACGGAGGCATCAAGCTTTTGCCGCATCTTCGAATATGGTTTGCCGTTGGGCGTATTTGGTGATCACTGCTGCCTGCTTCCGAATTTCGACTGCGAAGGGGCCAGCATCAGGGTGGGATGACAGCCTGCTGTCTCAATGCCCACATCAGGGGTCCATGGTTTATTCTGAGTATGGCACGTTGACAGCGGGGTTCCCAATCGACACTAAAGTCCCAAGCACAGACTTTGCCGATATTTCTTTCACGATGATCGCAAGCTTGTATGTTTTTGAACCCGTCCCCGGCAGCTTTACATGTTGGCTTGGGAACGGCATGACGTCGCCGGGTGTCGTTAGTGGACATCTGCACCTGTGTTTGACGGACACGCAATTGCTCCTCGGGTTTTGGAACAACGATCTTGTGGCCAACTATGCCTTTCCTGCTGAGACCTGGGCAACAGTTTCTGCAGTCTATGACGCGAGCAACCTAACACAGCGTCTATATGTGGACGGCACATTGGTGGGCTCCAAGACAAACGCAGGAACATTTAAAGGCCAATCGACTCACAATGTGGAGATCGGACGGTCGTGGAATGATCCAACTAGCTTTGACAAAAAGGGAGCGATACGAAATGTGGTCTTTTATACGGAAACGATTGATGCAGCTGATCTCGAAGCCTGTGCAGCGGACCCGTGGATGACAATAACATCTACTACCTCTGGCACGCAGACGCTGACTTCAACTACTTCGACAACGAAGAGCACATCGTCCACGATTTCGTCCTCATCGACGAGATCCTCCAGCTCCACGTTGACAACATCCAGCACCTCTGGCACGCATACGCTGACTTCAACTACTTCGGCAACGATGAGTACTTCGTCCACCAGTTCGTCTACGGTGAGTACGTCCTCGACTGCCTCAAGTAGCACATCGTCAACCACAAGATCGCTTACAAGTTCGTCGTCGTCGACAGGATCTTTCACCAGTTCTTCCGCGGCTAGTACCTCATCTTCGACGAGGTCTTTCACGAGTTCGTCGTCTTCCGTCAGCATAAAAGCCTCAAGCACTGTGACTACAAGTAGCCAGGCGAATGTCACATACTTGGTGGAGACTCCGCAGGATCAGGCATTGGCAGATGCAGCAGAAGTCCTCCTAGACGCCAGCCTCCAGCACATCGGCGCCCTGGTCACTGTGCCAGGTGTCGGCCGAAGCAGTGCCTCGTCCTTCAGTGTGGAGGGCTTGGTGCCTGCTACGCCAAGGTATGTTGTCGGACAGCTGGATAGGAGTTTGCTGGCAGCTTTCCCATTTCCACTTGTGAACCATTCTGCAGATGATGATCTATACTTGACTTTTTCCGACTTCGAGGAGGTCACCGTGCTGCAAGTAGTAACTTGAGACGGGTGTCCTCGCAGTGGGGGCGGGTCGGGTGTAGTCCACACTTCAGAAAGAAGGTGCTTCTATGTTCATAAAATCTGAATGCAGGCGCCTTTGAGAGTGCTATTTTCCTTTCTCGGCGCATGCACTTGAGGTTCTGCAAGAAGCGGACGTTGTCAGATTCGTGTCGGGGAGGAGAGCACGCTTGCTAGCCGATCCAGTCGATGTGTCTGTGGTCTTCTCCGGTGGACAGCACTGGCCGATAAATGTGAGCATGGAGCAACCAATCTACATCCGAGTGGCTCCAACTTTGACCGAGACCAACAGCATGTGCGCCTTCCTCACGGAGTCCGGTTGGTCTATGGAAGGAGTAAGACCAGCACTGCCAGAAGAACTGGCTGCAGCAATGGGAGGCGAGTACCTGCCGGGGTTCTGGTGTGCAACGACACACCTGACGATCTTTGCAGCGATACTTGAGCTTGCAGTAGCTTGCACGAACATCGAGGTGTTATCATCGCAGCTGTTGCCCAGACTGCTGGAGACCAGTTGGCCCGCTCGAGCGCCGGCTGTGCTCGTTCTTTCCACCGTGGCCTGCTGCGTGGTGATCCTGCTGGCTGCAAATGTTGCCGACCGGAGAGCACGTTTGCGGGACGTGTGGCGGCAGCAGAATCTGCTGACTGCCATCCCACCATCTCGCGTGTCCTGCTGCCCAAGCCTCTGCAGATGCCAGGGCAAGTCAAGCCAGGCTGGGAAAGAATCACAGAAATCGGAGAGCAAAGACGCAGATTCCACGGGACCACAGCAGCGGATTGGAACGATGCTCGGTTCTCTTCAGCCTCGGAGTTGGGCACGGCGAATGGGCATCCGGGTCATGGTAAAAGGAACATTGCAGTCGCTCGCTCTGCTGCTCTGGGTGGACGAGCATCTCGGCTGGTGCGTCTCTGGGAAGTTGAAGCGGCTGAATAAGCTCATTCTGCTTCTTCATAGGGTCAAAGGGTTTGTTTTTTTATTACTTTCGCAATCAAAGATTATGCGACAGGATACGCCGAAGCCCTATTTAAATAAGGCCCCTACATTGACAGCCAAGCTCGGCATGTTGCACTTACCAGGGCACTTCTTTTCGCTTCCCTGCGTGAGGCAATCCTTGCAGACCCATGTGTGGAATGGACAGGGCTGGGTGCAGGGGAGTCTCCTGCCTTATGAATAGTTACGGGGAGTCTCTTGCCTTATGAATAGTTACGGCGGGCTCATATTATAGAAGCCTGAAGAATTGCCCCCATTATTCCTTAGGCTCCTTGGCTCTTACGCAAAACTAAGGCGGTTTAATAGAATCCCCAAGGATGACCTACATTATTCCTTAGGCTCCTTGATGTCTGTACACTCTAATATTCCCTTACAAAGCCCTACCCTAAACTCAAAACCCTAAACCCTATTCTAATGTTCAAGGGCCTTAGTGTCTGGGCCCAGGCTTTGAGCCTAGAGGTGGCTTTAAGACTCGGGGTAAGATGACAGGGTTTAGGGCTTAGGGGCGTATTAGGACCATCAGTTCGCAATAGACTTTGCAGGCCTCTCTTGCTGAGGGAGTTAAGCTTGAGTCTGGCAGCACTGCCTCCTAGATGCAATAGTCTGGAAGCGCTGAAAACCCAGCTGATTGGTAGAGTCTGGCTTCAACAGGGGCATGTTTGGCTTTAGGGGCATATTACAGTATATCTTATAGCAGCTCAAAGCCACATTGAAAGCAGGATCCCATTCTCAAAAGCCAAGGCCTCGTCTTGGCAAAGTCAAGGCTGCTGGCGAAATGGACCGCGAATCTCGATGAGGCGGGATTCGGCTTTAGGGGAGTTTTGGACCGGTTAGGGTTTACATGGCGGTTTCGGATCTACAGCAGTGGTTATTGACTGCTCCTGTCACGATGAAGTCTCTTGGTGATCCTACAGTCTCCAGAGCTTCGTTTTATTCGTAGCGATACGGCGACGACGGAATGATCAGCAGTGGCTAGGAGTCATTTATACCCTAAACCCCGAAACCCTTAGCCCCTGTACCCTTAACCCTAAACCCTCAGTGTTCGAGGGAAAAACTCCTTGAGTGTTCCAGACAGGAGCTTCCTGGGCTTTATGCTGCCTGGGGCCGTCGGCGCGGGCGACGTGCAGTCGTCTCCTTCCTTGCCTGCCATCCCTTTCTGGGCATCTTCCCGGTGCGAGGGGTCTGGGAAACTTGGGCTGTGCTGTTGAGGGCTTGTGGGTTTCTGCCGTATGTAGACATCCTTAGATGGAGGCAGGGCAAACCAGGCAACTCAGACAACAATTGCACATCACCGCTTCACTCGGCTGCCCAGGTGTAAGCTCCGGTGTAAGTAAGGGGTTGAATGACAGTTTGGAAGTGCATTTGGGAGGTCTTGAAGGCCAGACAAAGGTTGTCTTAACCGTGAGAGCTGGATGCTGGGGTCCCGGGGGTTTGAACAGGGTTCTTGACGACAGCCCTGCAAGCCATCCATGATCTCGACACCTCGGACTCCCCAAATCGGAGGTGTCGGTGCACCTGACTTCGGCGAAGCGTGCGATGATCTTCTCACACTTCCTCTTGGGTTCTTTGGCGATGTCACTGGGACCTTTCCAGCAGGGACTCTTCGATTGCTTCGTCGTGAGGGAGGGAACAAGTACCAGTGCAAATAGAAGTGAGAAGAGCCAGTAATAATATTCCCTTTTGTTTCTGGTCTGCGATATGGACACCCTCTGTAGAACCACCATGCAGAACCCTGAAAACGGGGACAGCCACTGCCCTTCAGGTCTTCACTGTTTCTCTCCGTCACTGGGGTCCGGGATGTGACCAGCGACTTCGACTGCCCCGTCGAGGATGACACGCTTCGGCTCTTGCTCATTGCAGCTGTGTCCATGGCTCTGAACTCACTTCCTCGTCTTTTCTTCTGGCAGCTCGGATTCCGGAATTTTTCTGAGGGCGCTGGTGACAAAGAAAAGGTCAGGAAGAAGTGGAGACAGTGGCTGGTCGTGGACACTGTCTTTTGGCTTCTTTCCTTTCTCTGGCAAGCTGGCTACATCCTTTTCCTTTGTGCGTTCTTGGCCAGTCTGGCTCCAGCAGATGAGTCGAAATGTCTCCTCTGTTTCGGCACCATTCTGGTTGCGAAGTTCTTCGCGTCTCCATTTTCCAGGATGCTGGGACGCGCTTGGAAGGGCATGCGACCTCCCCTCGGGGCCTGAACCCTACAGCTACAGTAAGACCTAGGGGCGGGGCATGATTTTTTTTTAAAACTTCTTCCTTGAGTTCCTTAACATGTTTAGTGGGACCTCTTGATTAATACCCCCCCCCCCCCNNCCCCCCAAATAAATTTGGCGGGTTTCAGGCTTGCCACCCAACACTCCTTCTAGGGTTTGGGGGGGTTGAGGGTTGAGTTTAGGGTTGAGGTCAGGGTTTTGAGGCTTCGTTTTAGACTTTAATTTTCTATGCTTAGGTGCTTTACGCTTAAATCGTTTAAGCTTGGGGCTTACGGATGCCTGAGGCAGAAGGTTGCCATTAATCGGGGCGGGTGTCGGCAAGGTTTTTTTTCCTTGAAGGGGGGGTCTGGTGGAAGAAGCCAGCGCCGTTAAAACATGGTTTCAGCTAGGTCCGAGGCCCGCGCGGCATGAATTGAATCACGGGGTCTGTTAACCAAGAGTTGATATTATATTGAAAAGAGATCCCTATATATTGCACCCTGAAGTCCCAAACCTGAAACCCTATAGCCTCTAAACCTGCAGCTTGTCTGAACCGTGAGTCCTGAGCCCCAAACCATCCCAAGCCTTATAAACCCTTAAACCTTAGAGCCCTTGTTTTGAAAACCCTACGCCCTTGCTGCGGTTTCTTGTGAACCCAGAGTCGACGCCAAGCAGTTAGTAGCACCTAGCGGTCCAAGCCTTTCATACCCGAGAGCCGGGGGAAGTTCAGTTGGTACCCAAAGGTTTTTACCGCAGTAGCGAGAGCGCGACTTCCCAGAGGAGGACAAGCATGGGACCGTGACGAAGAGAGCGATTCTCGGAGGCGGAAACACGAGTCGCACCGAAATCTGCACGCACGGTGGCAGGAACACGGCACTGTGGCGGACCAGGATTTCGAATTACGCCAAAATTTCAAAATCCAGGGATCTGGGGACCACGACGAGGCCATAGTTGCGGGGCTGAACGCCAAAATGAACTTGGGAATGTGGCGGGGCTCGGTTTCCATTCAACAAGCGGAATCATGCCGAACATACGTACATGAAGTCCGGGCGAGTGCCAACATGTTGGATTTACCGTTAACTAATCGGGTTTCGCCCCAGGACGGGGCCGGCGTGGGACTTTGGCAAGAATGTGTTCTTTGCTCGAAAAAGTGCGAACCGAACCAAAGAGATCCCTCGATTTATAGATTGGAACGCCATGGTGTTACCACATTCTGTGCGAAAGAAAACCTGTGCCCCAGGTGTTTTTTGTCCGACATTTTGGTGTTTGGTGTTCCCTTCAAGGCTTCCTTCTCTATACAAGGTTTCCGTGACTTGCTCCCTCTCTCTCGCTCTCTGGCTTTCTGTCTTTTTTCGTTTCTCGTTCTCTCTCCCTCTCTCCCCCTCCCTGTCCCTCTCCCTCTCCCTCTCTCTCTCCCTCCTCTCTCTCCGCTCTCCTCTCCCTCCTCCCTCGTTCTCTCTTCTCTCCCTCCCTCTCTCTCGCTCTCTCTCTCTCTCTCGCTCTCGCTCTCGCTCTCGCTCTTCCTTGCTCTCTCACTCTATAAACTAATTAACCAAGACAGGAATACATAGCATATGCATATATACATATACACATACACACACATGTGTATACATATATATATATAATTATATGTATATATATATATATGGTCACACCCCCCATGATCCACCTCCGTCTTTCTTCGATATGCAAAATAATATATATATATATAATTATATCTGTACATGTATAAACGAGTCCACTGCTTCAAAAATGGTTTGTTATATTTTTTTATAGGGTTCCGGGCACTCAGGCTCTCGAGTCTCGGTATTGGGCTTACGACTGGAGTTTAAATTGGGTTCCCCATGCTGTATGGATCCTCCGAACTCTGGTTTAAAACTTTAGCTTCCTTCGGTTCCCTACAAATCTTGGGCTTGTTGTGCATAATAAGAAGAAGAATATGCTGATAGTTAAGAACGATAATAAAGATCATAATATTACTGTCCCGTTGTAATCGTTTAGTACTGATATACTTACAGTATAACATAGCCCCTAAACCCCCTCCGGGAGCCAAAAAACCCTTTTCTATTCCAAGTAATTTCCGTAGGTGATAACCCTGCAGGACAGGTACCTTCAAAGTAATCCTAGTTCAATACACACTCCCTGCGGTATCAGTATCCTTTACTTTGCAACAAAACGCCCCGAAACAGCTCCGCACTGCTGAGGATGTGCCTTCACTTTGTCTTCACAGAGATCGCTCTTTGTTCATTCCCTGAGCCCCGGAGCAGAAGAATCGAACTCTTTTTGAGTAGACAAAGCCGTTGCTGATCGCAGGGGTTCGCTTAAAACATGTTTCATCCCAACCCTATAGAGCCCAACGCCCTGCATCCTAAAACCCCGAAACCCTAAACACCAAAACACGCAAGCCCGAGTGTGAGCGCCGAAACACAAAATCCCAAGCTTCCCGTGGCATCCCCAATCTGACTGAGGATCTCTTGCAGGTGCCTCCACCTGAGCTTGGATTAGACTTCATGGCTCCATCACTGAACGACGACGCCCTGTCCTGAAGCAGCTATATGGGAGGTTCTATAAACTAGGATCCCCTGTAATGTTCCTTATCAGAGTGGCGGCTTATATCGGGGATCTGAAAAGCAAACTGCATGTAAGCAACTACCGATAATGTAGAGGCCCAAATACCTATTAACATTGCTTACAGGGCTCCTCAAATTAAACGAATTATAAACCAATTGTACTATACGGTACCGCTCCAAGCCAGTTTTCTAATTACAAGGGCCCCGATGCTTTGGCTCTTCTTCGTGTTTTTAATCCAGAGTGGTCGGAACGTCGGGTGTCCGGGCCGAAGGGATCCCCAAAGCGCACACCAATCCCTAAGTCTTTGTTGAAAGGAGCCCTTTAAAAACCCGTCTGAAAGCTTCCAAAAGATTCTGTGCAACTCTTGAAACCCGAAACCCTAAACCGTAAAAGCCTTAACCCTCAAGCCAAACGCGAAAATGCTAAATGCCTCGTCCCAGCTTTGGGAAGCCAAGGAGGTCCTCTCTGCAGGTGATGGAAACGTCGCGCAGCAGAAGGTCATCGAAGCTGCCATTGTGTAATACGCGATAATGTAGGGAACCTGAATAAGAAACCTTGGTCCTTGTATCCCGAAAGATTAGGATCCATGAATATCCATGATATAAGGAACCCTTATTTGAAGACCCAAGGTTTCTTAATCAGGTTCCTATATCAGTACCAGAATACTGGAATATGCACCTTGAACCCTAAGCCCTAAACCCCTAAACCTTCAACCCTAAACCCTTAAACCCTAAACCCTAAATATACTGCAACAGAAGGTCATCGAGCTGGCAAGTCGGGGCATCCGTGTGCGGCACCTCTTGGACTTCTACGAAGCGACTTATAGTAATTGTTTGAAAGCTTTCTTTCTGTTTTTTCTATAAATGTGTTTTTGTTTTAAAATGTGGTTGTCGTTCATGTTCGTTCTGCAGCTCCAAACTGTTCCAAGTATGTTGTGGGTTCTGAGGTGCGTATTCGTCTGCAAGTCGAAGCTTAAACCCTTTCTCCGTGGGTATTGGGGAAATAAGGAGATGCTGGGTCGAGAGTTTTTTGATCCGGAGCGATCTACCACACATGATGTCGTCCGACACGCCATCATCCCCATGAGCCTTCAGGGTGTGTTGCCCGCGGAGGAAGGTGAAGAAATCCTACTATGGACTGAAGATGCTGGTGTGACGTTTGAGTCAACGTTTGAGCGACGCAGCTGCATCAAGCCGACAGTGTGATGCTGTGCAGTGAGGTACCGGGAGAGCGCCGTAAACCATACCAAGTTCGCACGACATTTCCAAATTTTCCTGAACCACCTTCTTAGCCGTCTCAGGTCTCAGCAGCATGGGATTGCCTACGCAAGCATGGTGAACCAGCTGAAGCCCGTGTTCGCCCTAAAAATGGTGACCCATGCTTGGGGCAACGTGTTTCGCAGCTTGGACACAGGGGCATCCGAAGTAAGACATGCTTGCCGCGGCATGATTCATGGTTGCGTTGCGCCAGACGAACGAACGTCAGAGCTCTGATCTCAGGCAACTTGCTGGCGGCCGTTTTTGCAGATGCTCTGGGGCAGGAGACCTATGATAAGGTGCTACATTTGCTCGAAGAGCCGGGTTTGAAGACCATCCGCTTCCAGCTGGCGGCTTTGCATCAGTTAGACTACCCATATTGGATCTGTGCGACTTGGCTAGATTCGCAGCAAATCCAACAGAGCCCAGCCCCACCAACAATCACCGTCACACCAGTATTAAAACTGACCATATTTCGGACATGTACTATACCCTGCTGTATTTATGGGATACTGTACGTTACACCACTATACGATACTATTACCGTTGCATTGTGCCGGGAATTTAGAACAAGTAATTGACGGAGCCATCTTGGTAATCTTGGTCAGCCGGGGCCGCCCCTCACCCCACCCAAACCCCAAGACCCTGCATCGTAGGTTCGTCCTAGCCAGGCGGGAGGCAAAAAAATCGCCACCAATGCTCCTACATCCCCCCCACCCCCACCCTCCACCCCCCCACCCTCCACACACCGCCCCCCCCAAGACTACCAAGAGGTGCCGCGATAGCGCCACCAATGCTCCTACGTTCAAGCTGCTGGTGTATGATCCTGGTTTAATGTTCGGTTTGGAAGTTCAGGGGAATCAGAGGAATCAGCATATCGGCCCTGATGGTGACAGTAGTCGGCTATTTCATGCTGCCCCAAAGTAGAGTCCTCATAGATTCACGTCTTAGTTCGGATTAAAATGCTATGTAGAACCCCATTATACATTCCCATTTTAACTCCGATATCGACCTGAAGGTTAACATAATCATAACATACATCAACCTGATTGGCCCCCGATACTCAGGATATTGCCGTCTCCTTGGCAACCTTGATATTGGATATGACTCCAAGATTCACAAACTGATAACCTTAAGCTGTTCACATTGGTAACCTTCGTACTGTCCCGGATACTTCCTTCAACACCAACCCAAGTAATGGCTTTAGGGGAAACCCGACCAGTGGCCTCATCAACAGGTCATAACTCCAGATGTAGCTGTGGGATCCCTTGCAAGAGCATTCAAGTCCCCGAAGTTCAAAGGCATGGCCTTCCTAATACTAGTTACTATTAGTAATTATTAGTATGGAGACAGGTAAGCTAAATACTTGGCTATCACATGCTTCGGTGATTCGTCACATTCACGCAATTATGAAGCTACACAAAACAATACCTATTAAGACGCTCGTTGCTGTTTTCGCTCTGGCGTTGCACAAATGATGGCCCTTAGATTTTCAGGGATGCTACCAGCATTTGTTTGTTTACCTCCTCATATTGTATATGGCAGCCCCTTTCTCATTGTAGCATATGATCTTCTCGGACTTGTTGTCGGACTTGTCCGTATGCGTGTATGTACATGTATGTGTGTATATGCACGTGCTAACCCTAAGGTTAAAACATGTACTAGATACCCGCATGATGACAAAGATCGTTAATTGACTCCTGATTCCCAACAACATCAACCGTCACCCTATCCTTGACATGCGCCCTTATGTCAATGGTTTTCGCCCAGGCAGCAGCCCTAAGGCCATCCATAGTAGGCTTGGTACCACCCATCATAGTCTGACCCCGATGTTTCTCTTATTCAAGCTACAACCTCAGTCAGCTAGAAGAAATCGTACTGGTAGCTGTGATAGCACTGATATCCCGGGTCCTGGTCTGTGTTAAACCTGCAGTTCTAGCTCCCTATAACCACAAAACTGGAATAACGTCCTGGTTATAACCTATTGTATAGTGCTAATGCCACGCGGAATGGAATCCCAATGCTAATGACACTCGACGAGCCTTCTTGAAACCACTTTTTCGTACCGAGCGCAAACAACAAATGAAATACACACTCTTTGCTAGCAAAACTCAAACACCCCAAGTTCCTAGCAGTAGTAGCGGTGTTGATTCAAGCAACTGGGGCCGATTTAGAAGTCCTGATGTTCCAATGGGAGCTGTTGTTCCCACGGCAGTCAGATTGCCAAGGCTCACTACCAACACTGTCAGTTCTCAATCTTCGGTTGATAGGGTTGCTTAGTAACTTTCGTCGCTACAATAGCCACCGACAGGCATCAATGAGCATCGGGGAGCATCATTGAGCATCTTGTTTCACGGTTTCCAGCTCTGCCATCTTCGACCCCAAATGGGAACATCAACAACCCCACATCGAAGATCAGAGCTTCCTTGTTGAAGGTGACCATGCACAGCAAGCTGCAGCACACCCAAAGCTCAACCGCCCAAGCATCCGAACTCCCAAATCAGTATTGCCAATTCAATCATAGCCAAACTCTAAATGTTGGAGCTTCTATCATGCAAGTCGCCACGGGCCTGTGCAGGTAGTTCTGGGTGGGTCCGGGGCAGGGCCTTTTTTGTTGTTGTTGTTGGGGGGGTTCTGGGGGGAAATTCATCGGTGGGGTCAAATCCGGGTGGCCGAAATCCCCCCTCCCCCCCTCCCCCCTCCCACCTCCCCCCCTTTTCATAGGAAATTCATCAATGCGGCCAAAATCCGGGGTGTCTCAGTCCTCCCCCCTGTAGAACGGGACATCCTTCCTTCTCCTGCGGCCCTGGGTCTGTGGTCTGTGGTTCTTCTGCATCCATTCTCGAGCCTGAAACCCTTATACAACTAATCATACGAATTGTTGCTTAGAGCCGCTCCGAGCACAAATAATCATACTAACGATTGCCTATGACGGTCTTAAAGTAATACTACTCCTTCGAGCTAGCACCAAGAATCATACTGAGTATTGATTTTAACCCTCTTGCACTACTACTAGTCATACTGCGAAGTAACATAGTCATTGTAATCTTTGTCTAGAGCCCTGTTAGTTAAGAACGAACGGGGCGCGGGCGCGGAGGGGCGCGGTGCGCGGGGAAGGGCAGGGCAGGGCGCCGGCGGGGGCTGCTCTTGGCTCAAGTCCTTGTATTTGAGACCCATACCAGGGGGGGGGGCAGAACGCACAGCGCACAACCTTCTACACATCTAGAAATATATATATATATATATCATGTGGAGGTTCGAATTATCGACCCCCGCCCCCGGACTAAAACCTCGCGGCTCTAATAATGTGTGATGGTGACCCCTGGACCAAGGTTCGGTAGATTGGGGCTTTGACTAAGTTAGAAGGGAATT